GCCAATTTAATTCTTTATTCAATACAAGTGCTGTGGTTCAGATTTAGTGGTGGACACCTGGCCAAAGTGACTAGAAAAAAGACTATAATTAGCACAGGCACAGACACTAGTAGTATAAAAAAAATAACAGTATCATATGGCCACCTAAATCCAATTTGTTGATAGCAACACTTATCTCCAGTGTTCCAAACCTCTCCCTAGATTTCCTATCCAACTCTCTCCCTCTATCCTTCTTTTTCTCCCTCCTTCTCTTTTATCCTTTTTAATTTTCATTTTTCCTTCCTTTTTTTTCCTTTTATCCTCCCTCCTTTCTTTCCTAAGGGTCAGAAGTAACAATCTGACTCTAGATAGATGTTTTCCTTAGACTGATAGATTATACACAAAAAATAAAACTGCTAATTATCATCAGAACAATTTTGTCTCAGAGCAATTTCACTTAAAATTATGAAATAGGAAACAAATTTAATTTCTCAATTATAGATTATAAATAATACTTATTATCAATTCAGAATTTTAGAAAATAAACTTTTAGCTGCATGTACTTTTTAACATTTAAAGTTTTAATTTGCATGTATCACATGTATATTTCTCTAAAAGATAATGGTCTATTTTTTACTCTCCAAAATTTAGCAGTAGAGTTACTTAATTCTATAGTGGCTACATTTTAAAAATCCCAAAGATGACTACATTTTATTTTTTAAAGATTAATATTGATTTTTCATATTTTCATTTTTATTGGTTCTTTTTAGTTATATATAACATTAGGATTCATTTTGGCATAATTATAAAGACACATAATATAATTTGTTCTGATTCAATCCCCAGTAAAATCTCAAAAATTAAAGGTGTAATTTTAATTTCCATGTTTTGCTTAGTATAAGTTATTATCTAGAAATTGTGGCAGCTCCCATTTTTTAAAAAAAGAAATTTAATTTTAATAACTTATGCTAAAGACAACAGAAGCTTTTTGCCAGGTGTGTGATTTTAAAATTTAACATCTAAAGCTACTGCAAGGCTAGCATATACAAGTGTATGTCCTTATATCTTTTCTGGGGTCAATATTTCAATTACTGCATGTCTAAGGTGTGATCTGAACTTCATACATTCAAATCTAACTTCTTGAGTCATACAATACCTTGTTACATCATGTCACCTAACTTCTGATGCTTTTCAGTTACAATTAGAATCCCCAAATTCTAATCTGTTAAAAAATGTAATTTCCTTATCATATTTCATTCATATTATCCATCAACAATCTACATTTATTAAGAGCCAATTACTGAATGTGTAAAGGTCAAGAAATTATATTTGGGGTACTAATGTATAAATGGTCTTTATTTTGTGACTCCAGGTTACAAAGTTGAAGTAGTTAAAGCTGTTGTTTAGACTATGATAATTACTGCCTGAAATTAATTTTTTTCTGTCCTTTATCCTTGTTCATTGCCTGAATTCAGTGTTCATTGGCTGCTCAGCATCCTTTCTCTCTTTTACTGTCAACAGATCCCAAATTCTTTTAGCTGAGGGAGGGGAGATCATCTCTCCTTCATTGTAAGGGACTTTGAAAGAAGGCTTTAAATAAAGGTTCTCTGATTTTCTCTAGCTAAGAGATGGGTGGGACCAAAGCAAGGTCAACTGGATTCTCTCTTTTAGACTTTAAATTTTGAACATAGTTACACAGGATGAAGAAAAGGGAGTATCATAAAGAGACTCAACTAACTTCTGCTAATTAGGTACCTAGGCATGCTCAGATCTTCATCTAAGCCTTGTTCCATTGCCTTCATGCTAATTCTAGTAAATTCACTCTCTGATGATATAATCAAAGAATGATTTGTTATTTGCATCCAGAAAAATTGATAGACAACTAAAGTTTTTACACTGGATGATCTTACTTTACTGTTTAAAATCCTTTAAGGGTGGCCACTGCCTACAGGCCATCAACAAATCTCCTCAGTCTGGCAAGTATCCCGTTAGTTAGCTCCACTTCTCTCTATCCAACCTCATCAATTTCTTTATTATCATACAATCTTAACTTCAGCCATATGGAATCACAATTCTTGTTATGTAATGTTTTTCCCTACCTCAGTTAAAAGTACAGTCTGTTTCCTAAATTGTCTTTCTCATCTCATCTAGTTGGTTAATTCTAACTTATTCTTTTAATTTGGGCTTATGCTTTGTCAGCAAGTTATGTCATTATTCTCTCCTCTGGCTTAATTTTCTCTGAAACAAGTCCCTAGATCACCACCAAATATACCAGAGAAGTAAAAAACAAAACCCAAAATAATATGTTTAAGGATCAGACCTCTGATTCAGTTCAGTTCCAATCACTGTCACTTTCCTCCTTGACCTTGGGTAGGTAGGCTTTTAAACTTCAATGTGCCTTACAGTATTGTTGTGGAATAGATAAGATGTACTTAGATTGGTGACTGACATGTAATGAGTGCGAAATATTTTGGAGCTATCACTCTAAAATTTATCTTTATAGCATTATTATTGTTTTTCTCCCTTTCAACATTATACCCGTGCATTCTTATCTTGTACAACTTTGTATTTCCTGAGTACATAGTAGCAGATCAATAAAAGTTTGCTAAAGGAATATATGAATAAACAGGTGTTAATAGAATTTCTACACTATACAAATAACTTTTGGGATATTAACTCATTTCTCACATATCAAACATTAGAGACAGGATTGTTTTATTTAAACTTTTACTCAAAGGAACTATTTATTTATTTATGATATAATAAAATGCTCCCTAAACTTACATCTCCTTCTTGTTTCATTCCATACACTATATTTCTTTAATAATCAATTAGGATCATTTCATTGACTATTTAGTGATTAAAGCTATAAAAGGCAAGAACTGACAATGTCTTCATAAATTACTTTTCAATGCAAAAGAAGGAAGCAGCAGAAGTATAGTATACTTACTATTTAGCAAGGTAAGGGAATTGGAAATATATGTTAATAAAAATTACTATAAACATATTCATATATATGAATGTATATTTACAAATATAAACTTAATTTTCATATTATACATATATAATTTATAAATTTTAATTTTCCCTGCCCCAGGTATGGCTCTTCAACACTTCTTAGCTAATTTCATGCCTATATTTAAAGATAATCTCTGTGAAGGACACCAAATTAATAGTACTTTCCGAAAAAGACAAATTTATTAGAGAACTTTGAAGACTACTGAACATGACAATGGCTTCTATAAAGGCTAGGCTCATGAACACATCACAAGGGAGTGTGTACTTTAATATCAAGGGGGTTGTACAGGAGGTCATAATATCAGTGGTGGAATAGGGTGCTGATATGGAAATCAGCTGTTAGTTCCATATTATTATGTCACATACAGTTTGTATAATACAAATGCCCTGAGTGGAAAGATTTCCAGAGTTTGCTATGAAACTTAATATTGATCACTAACATTTTCTGAACACTCAGAGTAAGCAATGCAAAATATTTTTTTGTGCACTACTTAATTTAATTCTCATGGTAGCCTATGAGGCAGATAGTATAATTATCCATATTTATCAGAATGATAAATTCATGTTTAGGGAGGTTGAACAACTCATCCAAAGTCACACAGCTATAGTAATAGAGCCAAGCTTTGAACCAAGACAGTCTAACTAGACAAAGCCTATCTTTTAAACACTATAATATATTGCCTCCTCTGATAAATAATACTCATGGAAGTATTAGTAAAATGATATCATGAAATAATGTAGCTCTTGTTTCTGCATCTATCAGCACATTTCAATATAAAATTCTCAGCATAATGTCTGATATAGACCATAGACACAAATATATAAACACACACACACACACACACACATACACACACTAAATAGTCACTACAGTTATAGTTATTATGGACACTGTATGTAGTAAGTAAGAACCCACATTTAGGAATCAAACAGACTTGGATTTAAATACTTGCTCTGCTACCTGATAGGAGGGTGACATCCATGAATCTGTTTTTTTTTTTTTCTTAAAAAATATGGCTATGAACACTTGTTAAAAAGCAGTAGTAGATGGGGCTGGGGTTGTGGCTCAGTAGTCCAGCACTTGCCTAGCCTGTGTGAGGCACTGGGTTCCATCTTTAGCACCACAAAGATATTACCCACACTGTCTGCCCTATTCCTTATTTTCAAAAGGCAATTATTTAACACTTGAATACCTCCACAATTGATTATTTCTTTTGAAATGTTTGAAAGCTTTTAAAAGTAAAGTGACTATGGTGTCTGAAACTTTCAAAATTACTTTTTCATCCATTCAGAAATATAGAAGATACCAATTATATTTTTTTTTACCTAGATAAACCACATTTGTATCATATTTATAGGTTTCTAGCAGATGTCATAATTTTACCAAATGGTTTCCAATGAAACTGATAAATGAAATATTGTATTAAAAACATATTGATTTGAATATGGCAGGGCAGAAATACGAATATTGAGATCTAGGTTATTTTTAAATATTTTATTGCTTGTTAGTTTTCTTTTTTATTTATAATTAACTTCCAATTTTCCTTATTATTTAAAGAGGAAAATTGGCACAGACAACTTAGAATAGTAGATAACAAACAAGTCCCAGATTATTATGTTTGATTCTGTGATACATAATGGGTAGAAAGTTCCAAAACAGTTTAAATGTAAACAGTTCAATGAAGCTGATTATTTGGTATCAAATAGATTTTAAAAATACCACTTGTTTGTTAAATTTAACTAAGCCAACTATACTTGAAGGCGTATGCTTTTTTCCCTTATATTTTCCTCCTTTTAATTCATGATTACTACAGTTAATTGCCTTAATTCATACCCTTGCTCATACTTGGGCTGAACAGAGTGGAGAGAGTAGTGTGCTTGCTGATAGAGAAAGAACTGTCTAAAGACTTGGTGGGAAATGGTCTAGGACAGTGGTGTGACTAGTGGAAAAATCTGTAATTTAAGGTAAACCTTCTGCCAGCTTTTATATTTGTAACTCATACCTTCTGCTTGATGATCATCTCGTTGATGTCTTCAAGATCACCGACCATCACCCTTTGTGATTTTATCACTCGATCAAGCAGAGAAAGCCATTCAGTAAGTTCTGTCCAAGCCCGGTTGAAATCTGCCAGAGCAGGAACTTCCAACAGCAATGAAGATGGCATTTCTAGTTTGGAGATAGCAGTTTCCTTGGTAACCACAGGTTGTGTCACTAGAGTAACAGTCTGACTAGGAGCTAAATTTTTTTTTTGAGAAAAGAAGAAAAAGAAAATTAGAAACACAAGCTAAAGAGTGAATTTAATTAACAATTTTAATTAAAAGGCAACAATTTGATATTATTATTTATGATATATCTGTTTATAACAATGTGAATACTTCATAAAATAATACATCATAGGAAATTCAAAGAAAATATCAATTCAAAGAAAATATCAATACATATTTAATAATCTTTCAAAATGATAAAACTATCCTCATGCTTGGACAAATAGTTTGATTTAAATAATATTTCTCAATAACAATTATATAGACTGGGAAATTGGTAAACAAAAGTATTCAGACATTTCCAGGTGAATAAGATTTACCTATTTTTTTTTCATTCAGAGAAAAAAAGGAAAAACAAAGGACTGAATAAAATCTTATTCCAGACTTATCATTTCTTTTATAACTAGTCAATTACTTTGGAGAAAGACCCTAGGGAAATCAAATTCAATGAAATGTTCTTGTCTTAGCTCTGTATTTTATTCTGGGAACAGTTAATCTTATGTTTTTCTTTTCTTCTAGATTGGTAATAAAGTGACTAGCAGTGAAGAAAAACCAAAGTACATTATTTTTTGGAAAATGAGAGCTAGTGAAGTTTTTCTATTTGGACAGGAAACACTGCTTTAAGGTCAGCAAGAAATCTTAGTATTAATAGTGTTGAACACTGCAGTGTAAGATAGTACACATGGTAATGGTTAAGATCTGATTTCTTGGGGTAAAAAGACCTGGGAAAGAATCTTGCTCTCTGCCTAGGAACTCTAGGATGTTGGCTAAGTTATCTAATCTAAGCTTCAGGTTTTCTTCTGGGTAGAGGAGGAATAATAACGGTAATGTCACAGAAGCAGTTGTATGGATTCAATTACTAATACAAGCAATGAACATACAATGATACCAGAAAGAGAACATCATCATTACAACAACAGTATTAGTACAGTGCCTGATATTAGTAGGTAATCAATAATGCTGTTACTATTTTTATAAACACCTGATTAATAACAAACAAGCAAAAACACTCCACAAAGGAACATGGTGATAAAGGATGGTAACTTGGATTACTGGGGAAAGAGTCAGAGGACTTTGTGGAGCCCTGTTTTGACTGAAGTGGGCTGAATTTGGCTCATGTGAAATGATACTAAATAACAACACACTAAATAACTAACACACAGCTGTGTTATAGGAGGAGAGTGGTGTAAAGGAGGAATGGTATCCACTTGATAACCAATGACCTCAAGAGCTTAATATAACTAGGAGTCCAGCAATGAACAAATATCAGATTATGTAGTTCAAAAGGGGAGTTTTCAGGGAAAACTGCAAAAGACATCTCAGTACGAGACCTTGGAGGCATGGACAAGGGAATTATACCAGCAACACGAAACAAATGTGCCATTTTGTACTGGATTTTCATTCTGAGGTGGTCATATATTAAATTTTATGTTTGAATTGTAGTTTAGATTTTTTTGGTAACAGGGATTGAACCCAGGGACATTAACCACTGAGTGATACCCCCAGGTCTTTTTAGCTTTTGAGACAGGGTCATGCTAAGTTGCTTAGGTCCTCACTAACTTGCTGAGACTGGTCTCAAATTTGTGATTCTCCTGCCTCAGCCTCCTAAACTTTTGGGACTACAGGTGCACACTACCATGTCTAGACCGTTTGGACTTTTAAGATTGTCTATTCATTTGTCAGGCATGGTGGCACATGCCTATAATCCCAGCAGCTCAGGTGGCTGAGACAGGAGGATGGTAGGTTCAAAGGCAGCTTCAGAAAATTAATGAGGTTGTAAGCAACCTAGTGAAACCCTGTCTCAAAACAAGTGAGTGGTTAAGCGTCCTTGGGTTCAATCCAAAATTGTCTCTTCACTAGAGAAGATGAGATGTATGGAGGAATGTTTCTTGTCTCTTGAACTTCTTAGAGACACCAAATCTTGTACAGATGGAAGAACTAATCTTGAACAAGGCATAAAGAAAAGTGTTTGAGATGTCGAAATCAAAATCCAATGCCAAAAATTAATGATTGAAATAAAATAATACTGAGGAGATACAGAAGAAGTTTTATTTCTTGACGCTATCTCATGTCTCTGAGGCTCTTTCTAGAAAGAAAATGAAACATAATCTAAAGCAGAAGTAGCATTTTGTGATCCATAGTCCAGGGAACTGTACACAGGAACAAACAAGGTCTATAAACCTTAAAAGGCTTTCCAGCAGAGGAGCTGAATCCCTGGAAAGAACGCATTGGGTAAGTCTGAAAAGAGAAATATTAATATATCACCATAGGAACTCACTGCAGAAACTAGACTCACTGAAAAACAGGACAAATTATTCCTAAGTAGATATACAATGAATACCCAGCCAATATTCAGCAGATTGGGAATATTTCAAGGTTATGTGAAGTGTCCTATAGTTCTTCTTTTTTCTTTGGAGCTTGACTTATTGAAAATTGGACTTTCAAATGAGAAGAGGAAGAGAGACTTTTTTTCTTCTCTAGACCAACAAAGAAGTACTTAATTAAGTGGAATTTATCATGTCATCTTAAATTTTAATATAGTGAAGGATGAGATTGCAAAGAATGTTCAGACTTCAATGAGCAGACTACTGTTTTCTGGAAAGTACTTTTGGAAAAAATGTCTATTGAAAAGATAGTCCAGGGATTAAGATTTGAAAAGGGAAAATGATTCAAGACAATTAAAACATTTTAAGAAGGGTCAAGGAATAATGATAACATAAAATTCTCCACTGAGGAAAAGGAACAAGTATCTATCATCTATTTAAATTTCTCTATATGTATATTTACTTATTGGTTCTTTTTAGTTATACATGACAGTAGAATCCATTTTGACGTAATTATACAAGCATGGAATGTATCTTGTTCTAATTCAGTCCTTAGTACCTCTCCTTCTACTTCCCTCCCCCACTCCCTGCTCTCTTCCCTCAATTGATCTTCCTACCATTTACCTATAGTTGTTATTTTTTAAAAAATTATTTTCTTGTGGATGTACAATAGATTGAGAGGTCATGCAATGAAACTATCTCTGCACCAGACATTCATTTCTGGTCTCTATTGCCATGTGAGAACATCTTAATCCCATGGAAATGGAGGGGGAACCATTGTTTTATGCACTGCTTTATTCCTTGCATTTGATTGAGGTCCTATATAGTAGATGCCTGTTGATGTCCTCCAAATAAATGAATGAAACCTTTTTTTAAAAAAAAAAATCTATACAAAATACTAAATTACTAAAACTTAGAAGACTTCTATCTACAGTGAATCCTGAAAGTTATTATATAAGAATTATTTCTTGAAGGTTAAAACAGAACATGTATGTCTAGGCTCTTGCTATTTGGGCCATTTTAGTTATTTTTAGAAGAAGAAAATAATATAGGAAGAGGCACTGTTTGAAAAAGATAATGGAGGCTCAAGTATTTAATAGAACAAATAAAACTAGTTAATCCTTCTCATCATGCCCCACTTTTCTGTAAAAGCAGGACAGAACCCTGGATCAGGAAGCACAATGCCAAACAGACTTTCAAGTCCAGATAGGTGGATAAATATTTGCTCTGCCATGTCTTAGCTGTGTAACTTTAGGCTGGCTATTTAACTGTTCTGAACCTTCATTTACTTTTCTGGATAATAATTATTACAATAGCACTTTCTTCATGAACAGCAGTTTTTACCATTTCTTAGATATACAACCTTAGATAAATAATCTTTCCTGAGATTGAAGACGTCTTTTGGTAAGGGATTCCAGCATTCTTGCTAAATTGAATACTTCAGATCCTCAGTCTTAACCTATGTAACAATACTTTAGCAGTGAGAACAGTACTGATCTCATGGAATTGTTTGAGGGATTTTATGATGTCATACATGTAATTTACATTCTAGTATTGTTATGATAGTAGGTATACCATGTAGGGATTTTTTTCTTCTCCATTTTTCCTTTGCTGCTCTTTCAATGTTTATTGATTCCTCATTATCTCCATTCTCACATTTCAGCTTCATATCCCTCCATTCTCCACAGGTTCCCTCATGCCTCAATTTCTATTCTGCATTCTCCAATTAGCAAAGGCCAATTCACACTTTTGTGTCTTTTTGAAAGCTTTTCTCTCCCTTTTCTGAGAATCATTTCCTATTCAAATCCCAACTCTAAATTTCTGTGCATTTTGGAGAACCATAAGTGTTGTGTAACTATAAAGACACCATCAGGAATAGAATTATAACATTCTTTTGAGTTGTAAACACTTTAAAGTTTTTAACATTTTCTTACATAAATATATTCATCACTAGGAAAAAAATGTTTTACACCACTATTAGATTTTAGGGTTGGTTGGTTGGTTTGTGGTTGAAAAAAAATTTTATTGTATACATTTAAGGTACAAACATGATGTTAAGGGAGTATATATATATATAATATAATATATATATATATATATATATACTGCATGAAATATATGTGGAAAAAATAAATGGATAGAGTATATAGATAGTATCATAGTGAAGAAAATTAGCATATTCAGCATTTCATATAGTTATCCATTTTTTTGTTGCAAGAGCAGCTAAAATCTACTCATTTAGCATGAATCCCATATATAGTACAATTTAATTACCTAATAGTCCTCATGTTGTGTATTCTATTTCTAGATTAATACATAGATCCTACATATCAGCTACTTTGTATATTTTGACTTATATCTCCCATTTCTCCTATCCCTACTCTGGTATTCACTATTGTGTTTTATTCTCTATTTCTGGATAGTACATTTTTTAAAGATCCCACACGAGCATATGTAATAATTTTCTTTCTGTGTTTAGCTTATTTCACTTAGTATAATGTCCTTCAGTTTTATCAAAGTTGTGGTGAATGACAAGACCATAATCTGCTTTAGGGGTGAATAATAAATATCTCATTGCATATATGTATCTTAGTTTTTGTTCATTTGGTCATTGATGGGCACCTAAGATATTTACATTTGGGGACTA